AGATGTATTAATCTATGTAGATAATAGATACATCTATATATATCATTTTGATACATCTATCAAAAAAAGAAATTATGGCCATAAGTTTTAAGGGTAGAAGGCATTGCTGGATTGCCTGACTTACCTCCTGCAGCAGTCAGGCCACAGCATGCTGCTGGGTAACATGTCTGATGAAAGCACTTCCATCCTGTTCCCTTCTCTTCCAAACCAGAGGTCAGCACATCTGTTAATGAGTGAGGATGTGAAACTGTTCAAGATGGGGAGAACTGGGAAACAACTCCCCGCTTAATTATTGAAGAAGATACGTAGTGCAGTGAACTGCTTTTAAGCACATCTTCCTTTGGTACCTATACATCCTGCTGTGCTCATCAGTCTACAGCTGATTACAAGGCTAATTTTAACTCCTAGCCTGAAATAATCAATTTATGTCAGTACAGTCCTGATAGGAGTAGTGCTATTGTGTGTAAAAAAAAATCTGCTGTCCAAGTGATGTATAGTTGCTGCAGTAGGAGAGAAAATGGGCTTGCTTTATTGCCTCAAACTCACTTATAAAAAAAAAATCCCCTCCTGGAAGCATGGGGTTCCACAAGTAGTAGGGAAGAGAGATCAGTGGTAGCTTGGATACTGGAGGAATCTTGCACAGTAGCATTGAGTTTGTCGTGGGCTAGTGTGTTCTTTGAAGAAGTAGGATGAAATAAGCCATGTGTGGAGTCTGTGCTTCCAAAGCTAAACTCCTTTTAGTACCTGAGCAAATTGCTTAAAGCTAACTTAGGGTCTGTGCTACTGTGCAGTCCAGAGAATCATTAATTGGACGGGAGCATTCTTCCTAGGATTTTTCTGTAACAAATGAGCAGTTATTAGCAAGACAAGCATTTCTCAGTCTTATTCTTGGAGGGGCCTGCTGGTTATTCATAACAGGAACGTGCTTGTTCATGCAGATGTAATTCACAAAACATGAGATTCTGAAGTACAAGTAAAGAAAGCTAACAGCTACGGAGGGTGTACGTGATTATTCCTGCTATTGGAAGACAGGTGCAATAAAAGAAAGATTACTTTATTTTTGGCATCTAACTATAATAAGGATTTTTCTGTAAAATTGAGAGCTTTGTGTGTTCAGTGTTACCTGAAACCCCTGAAGTTTCCTGGCCAAAATGCTTGCTGAAAGTTGCAGTGTAGACTTTTTGAAATACTTCTTTGAGTGGATGTATGTAAAGACATTCACTGATAAATTAGTGAGATAAAAACTATTATTTATATGTTCTAGGCATTAAGACTGCAATTCTAGTTGGAGGTATGGCTGCACAGAAGCAAGAACGTGTGCTGAATCGAAAGCCAGAAATTGTAATTGCAACCCCAGGCCGTCTGTGGGAGTTAGTTAAAGAGAGACACCCACATCTTTCAAATCTTCGGCAGCTGAGGTAAAGGTGCCTTTTAAGACTGACTGTTGGATACTGAACTGGGTGTCACTGCATACTGATTATATTTACTAACTGATTAAATAATTTAGACTACCTAAGATGACTTATTTTTTGCCAGTGTTTTATTGGAATGCACAGTGGTTATATTGATGGAAGGAAATGTCAATTAAAGCCAGTAGCAAAACCTTAATTTTTCCTTTAGAAACCTGATTTTTCAAAAAGAAATGTGGAACGCTACTCTAACTACCCTGGCATAGCTGGTGTTCCTTTGGGTTTTATATGCAGAACTTTCCTTGCACTTTTAATAGGAAAAGTTCTTTTTAAGTGTATCGGATGTGTATTTATCTGCACAAGTGTATTTTTACTGTGAATTTTCTGTTTGACAGATGCCTTGTCATTGATGAAGCAGACCGAATGGTTGAGAAAGGTCACTACTTAGAGCTGTCGCAGTTGCTGGAAATCTTAAATGATTCACAGTATAACCCTCAACGGCAGACTTTTGTTTTTTCTGCCACTTTGACTTTAGTCCATCAGACTCCCTCCAGAGTTTTACAGAAAAAGAATGCTAAGAAGATGGACAAGAAGACCAAACTAGAGTTGTTAATGGAAAAAGTAGGAATAAAGGGCAAACCCAAAGTAATAGACTTAACAAGAAAAGAAGCTACTGTTGAGACTCTGACAGAAACCAGAATCCACTGTAACACAGACGAGAAGGACTATTATCTCTATTACTTCCTTCTCCAGTATCCAGGAAGAACCATGGTCTTTGCAAACAGCATAGACTGTGTAAAACGCCTGAGTTCTCTCCTCACAATCTTAAATTGTGACCCTCTTCCTTTGCACGCCAACATGCACCAAAAGCAAAGGCTGAAAAACCTGGAAAGGTTTGCTGAGCGAGAGAGGTGAGTTGATTTTTTTAATTTCCTAATAGAGAGAAAAAGAAATCTTGTAAAGGGTAGTGGGGAGAGGAAACAACTCTGTTGGAGGAGGAGCAGGTTGGGGGAGTTAGCTGGGGATGCGAGTCCCCTGTTCATGAGCCCAGGTTATTAACAGTTAAGGATGAGGTTTCACAGGGTGGTTGAGATGGTGAACTGGAGTGAGTTCAGTGGAAGACCGTCAAGAAGCACTCAATCTGCAAGGGGAGAGGCTGAGGGCACTGGCTTTGTATCAGCTGGGAAAAAGACTTTGTAGGGTTGTAACAGCAGCTATCCGATATCTTAAAAGAAGGTTATCAAGAAGATGGAGCCAGGCTCCTCACAGTGATGCATGATAGGAGAATGAGGGATAACGAGTGCAAGTTGAAATCAGAGATTCAGGCTGGATATAAGAAAGAGCTTTTTCTCTGTGAGGACAGTCAGGCATTGGAACAGGCTGCTCATTCTTGGAGGTTTTCAAGGCTCAGTTGGATAAAGCCCTGAGCAACCTGGTCCAACTGTATAGCTCATCCTGCTTTGAGGAGGAGGATGGACTAGAGACCTCCTGAGGTCCTTCGGAGCCTGAATTATCATGTGGTCTGGCAGCTAATTGCTGCTGAAGGAGCTGTCACTCGCCCTGTTTCCAGCCATATGCTTTTATAACCATCCTGCACACCTCTGCCCCTGTGCCCTGGCTCTGCAGCTCATTTGATCCTTCTGTAAGTTGTTTCATCTCCCTAAGCCATCAGAAAACTAAGCACTTTTTGCTGGGTTAGTTTTGCAGGTTTAGTTAGATGAATTAGTTTCCTGAGGGTCAAGATATCCTAGAGCAATGCAAAAGAAGGGGCAGCTCTGCCTTTCAGCAGCAGTGGGCACTCATGTTTACTCAGGCAGGTTTGTCCTGCCATTTTAAGAATTACTGTTTCTTGCTGGCTTTGGCATGGCCTTTGGGAGGAGGTTGGTGGTCTCAGTACTTCCATAATCCAGAAGCCTTACAGTTTAGTCCTGCTGTGAAGTGCTGCATGCTGTCTGACTGTGAGGGAATTTGTACCTTGGTAATAGACTCAGGCAGGGAGAACAGAGGTTGAATTGCCGTGATAGATCTGCAGTATCCCTTGGCAAAATGTAGTATCGATAGCATTGACCTAGGCCAGATGGGTAATTTTCCAAGACTGCAGATTATCAAGGCAAGAAGATGTCTATGAGACCATCTATCACGGCCTCCTGCAGATTGCAAGCTGTAGAATTTTCTCTGTTTATTTCTGGTTTTAACCTTGTAGGAATACAGTATGCAGTCAGATGCCATAAAATCCTAACAAATTCCTGTTGCCTACAACTCCTTTCAGTTGCTGGGAGACTTTTTTAAACTGAATTGTTCCATACCCTAGGGAGACTTTTGTCTCTGTAGTAGACTGTTTATATAAAAGAATGACTTTTTTGAGTAGTTCTTCATTTCTAGGGGTAAGGAGAAATACTAATTGTCAGAACAGAATCTCCCCACCCCCCCCCCCTACCCCCCCCATATTTATTTTAATTTTACTGAGAAACTTGGTAGAAGATATTTCAGCCCCAGAAAGCTGTTAGTTATATCTATAATGTTAATAATGTGATTTTTCTCAACTGGTGAAACTTGTAATAACTTGTTTGTCCTTGCAAAAGATCAACTGTGTTGTTAATCATATGGTCATACCAAGCTAAAGATATTTTTAAAACCATCCTGGGCAGAACATTGAAAAATGTAATGAAGGGGAGCATACCCTCCTTCCAAGTGGTTGGATTAGGTCATGAATAGTGATTTGCGTTAGCACTCCTGTGAATTAGGAGAGAATAAAAGCACGGGAGAACAGGATCCAGCAAAGTAGTGAATTTCCTTATTGGAAGCAGAAGCAGAATGCTGAAGGTAACAGTTGCATATTTTTTTTCTTTTACTTTAAGAATTGCTGTTTCGAGGCAGCCTCTGATGTAATATTGGGTATTGTTTTCTGTAAGGGCAAACAAATAGCATATTTCCAGCAGGCGATATAGTACAAATCTGTTCCTTAAATTGCTGTGGTAGAATTCTGGGTTGCTGTATTTTATGTTCCTTGGCAGATGGTTTACTCTTCAATTTTATGTTCATTAAATGTTATCACTTTCTCAGCTGTGTCCTCCTGACAACAGATGTCGCAGCTCGTGGTCTTGATATTCCCAATGTGCAGCATGTCATCCACTACCAGGTTAAATATTTTTAATGTTTTTGCTTTTACTGTTTTGGTTTTGAAATAAGCTTTTGCTGATCCAAACCCTGAACTGTGATTCTTGGTCCTGTGTGTAGTATAGTTCCAAGTATAGAGATCTAATTATTATTAATTTAACTGTCCTTAGTTTTGTGTTCTTAAGGATCTCATTGCTGCAGTGACTGACTGTGGTAGGTAGCACTTCATGAATGTGTGATTATATATGAGAAGTGACATAACAGATATGATTCTCCTTGCTTTTTGCATAACTTTGATATCTAAAGGTGTCAAATGACTCAGCCCTTTAACTTTTCTCTGAGGACATACACAAATTTTTTCTGCTTTGCAAATGAAATGACAGAGGGTCAGAGGTTAGTAGAGACTCACAAAAGGTTATGCAAGGAAAAATACTGGACCAGAGAACAAAAAGTGACTCCAGACATTGTCTTTTACATTACCTTCAGCTGTGTTACATGCAATGTACCATGTGTATATAAAAAACAATATTCTCTTGGCCAAGGCATGACAGGCTGCTGCTAGCTTTCCTTGACCAGCTTCATGTTTTTTCTGAATATTTGCAGGTCCCTCGTACTTCTGAGTTGTATGTACACAGAAGTGGCAGAACAGCCCGAGCTGCCAATGAAGGCCTTAGCTTATTGTTGATAGGCCCTGACGACTTGATCAATTTTAGGAAAATTTATAAAACGTTGGAGAAGAGTGAAGAGCTACCATTTTTCCCGGTTGAAACCAAGTGCATGACTTCTATCAAGGTAAAGAAACAACAGTCTCTTTGCAGCCTGAGTAGTTGCTTGCTTCCTTATATTACTGCATTGCCCATCACATTCTTTCCAGGTTTCAGGTGACATTTACTCTTCAGGGCCTGGATTTGAAAATGAAGTTAGTCACACTTTATCTTGTTTTAAGCAATATTTGTGATTTCTCCTGAATAACTGGCCCAAGAAAGGTGTTCAAACATTAACATCACTTAGATTTTTCTTGCACGTAGAGCTGCTTTGCTGTATTCCCAAAAGCCGTACCAGGGAAGCAAGTATGTTTTGTGGCTGGGGAGCTGGTATGGCTCTGTTAAGTAGGTTGTTTAAAGCCTCTTCTGTCAGGAATAGACTAGAGAACAGGAGCAGGTCCAGGGATCTTCAGTGGTCTTCATCTGCCTCTTCTCAGTTGAAGTAGTGAGTTGTCTGCTTTTCTAAAAGTTCCTGTACTGTGAGGCCTCAGCAGTGACTGAACGCTGTCAAACCAGATATGTTTCCTATTTCTAGGTTATTGCCAATTTTAAGGAGAATTTAGTCATTCACTAACTCACAAGATAGATAATGGTTAGGATTTACAGAACTATATTTTAGAAAGCATCTAGTCATCACAGATTTTCTACTTCTCGAATAAAAGGCCGTTTCATGTCTCAGCATTCTCTTAACAGTTCAGGTGACATCAGCCATGTACAAATGGGACATACTTAAATATTGCATTGAAAGGAATCCAGCTGAGGTTGGAGTGTCTGAATATTGCACAGTCATTCAGAACAGGAGAAAAATGCGAGCAGTCAGATAGTGCAACAGGTATCTTCCTTATGGCATTCTGGTTCATGCTTATCCAGTTGCCTTGGACTGAGCCCAGGGTCTAACCCAGTGGCAGCTGCGGTATCCTCACCTTGGGAATAATGTCAGCAAGTTTCAAACCCCAGGCTTGCTGCAAATGGGGTACTTAGCCTGAATCTTTCAGGAGATGCAGCTTTCTGAAAGAGGAATAAAATCAAAGAAATGCCACAGACTCATTTTTCTCCTATTGGTAGTAACGAAGAGATTTATTTTTTTTTTCCATCTCCCCCGGTCCCCCTCCACCCACCAAATGTTTCTGGTTACTTAAATCTGTTTTTAGAGAGTTTCTTCAGAGGTCCCTTCTGTGTTTCTTTATGAGTAATTTTTGGCTCTTGCCATGCTCTGTCAATTAATGGGCAAATAAATATTGTTTCCACACTTAAATTTTCCTGCCACCATCTCACAATCTTCTCTCCTATCCAAAATAGCTCTACTCTCCCCAGAAAGATGTCTTTGTAGTTGTAATTACAGGACTCCAGTCTCCTAGGCCCTTCATATGGTCAGGTCTTATTTACACTTTGCCCTGGGCTTGATGACAAAGCCATTGTAGTTGGGACTAACAGTTCTGCTGGTTCTTTATGTCTGTCCTTTGGCAAGCTACTTCCCTGTTTCTGCATGCCTTCATTCAAGTTCAGGAAAAGTCTGAAGGAATCTCACACTTGAGAGGGATAGAATTGGTGAACCAGCGTAGAGGAGAGACCAAAAGAGGGCTCAAGTTTACAAAGATGGAAAAACAATTTAAAATTTCTTGTAATGTTCTAAGAAGAAGTGACTGACTTGTTTTTATTAGTCTACTGTACATTTAATTTCCTGTCTCTCTGCATCCTAATTATCCTGGCAGTTCTGGCTGATGCTGGTTTTGTGTAGCACCAGACTATTCAGTTGGGGTGGTCAGGGTGTCCTGCACAGGCTTTGTCTTGTGCAACCACAGGCACATTCCAAACAGCAGAACTTGCTGCTGGGTTGATTATTATTTACTGTCAGTGCAGATTTTCTTTCCATAATGAATTAGTTATTTAAGACAGCTTGGCCCGGCTGGAAGGCTGCAGGTCAGGTCAGGTTAGGTTTGCTGGAGATCTTTGTTCCACCTGTGTGCAGCTGCGAAGAAAGACAGGACGTTTTGTGCTGTACCTAAACAAGGTCCAGGTGCATTTCTGAAAACATAAGTAGCTCCTTCCATATGGCCTGCAGGAGATTACTTCAGAGTGGGATGAAGCTAGTAGCTGCCCCTTATTTCTGAGACTAGTAACTTTAAGATCCAGCTGTAGTATGTAAATATGTAGCTTGGAAATGATTGGTATCTGAATCATGATTTGTCCTTGATGTCTCTGAAGTGTTTGTAATGATTCATTTAAAGAATGAAGAGTTAACATTCACGCATGTTTAGTAGTTGAGATGTTTTAGAAGTCAGAGTCTATCATGGATCTGGAGAAGGAAAACACTTTAGTAAATGATGACATGTATTTATTACATGGGTCACGTGCTGGGATACCAGTAGGGAACAAAAGTGTCTCTCTACCTCAGTTGCATTGTAACGCATGCTCTCAGACAGTGATTCTGCTAAAGTGCCTCACATTTAAACCTGATCATAATGTCTGAAATGGACTTTTGTTGCAGGAGCGGATGAATTTGGCACGGCAGATTGAGAAGGCAGAATTTTTCAACAGTCGGGCAAAGCAACATGACTCCTGGCTCCAGCAAGCTGCAGATGCTCTTGAGATTGATCTTGATGATGACATGTTTATGGGCAAGTAGAATGCTTGTTTATGGGTATGCGCAGTTGGTCCCATAGCACTGGTGTCCAGAAGAAGCCCTGCCACGGCAGAGAAACTCTTAAAACCTGCAGGGCCGAAGGAGAAAGAAAGGAGTGTCATTACTTAGTACGTGATATTGCTGGTGTTTTCAGGATGATTGTGCAGTAGACAGTGCTGGAGCTGAGAGTGTGAGGTGTGACAATTCTGGCAAGTCACAGATAAGTCCACATGTTGTAGGAGAAGAACTGGTTAGCTTCTGGCAAACAGTTTAGGGTAATCTAACAGCCCAGTATGTCCTGCTTGAGTCTTCTCTCCTCTGTGTGAAAGAAAAAACTGTTTCTCCACTTTGCTTATCTCTCCCACCCCCCTGTAGTCAGGCAGCAGCACAGGAGCCTGACAGCTCTGTGGGAATACCCAGGAAGTGCTAGCAAACACCGAAAATTATGTGAACCTTATGTAGGTTGAGTTGTGTGGGCTGAATGGCCAATACTTATATTCAAGTTGCTGAGGTTTTTGTTGGTGTGTTAGAAGTAAATAATTTCTTATATTTTTAAAATTAAATGTTCTGTAGGCTGTGCTTGAGAGAATGTGTAGGGCTGTGCAACTACAGGTGCTTATTAATTCAATGCCATGAAGTTTTGCAACACTTAGATGCACTGTAAAACGCCACATTGTGTTCAAATGTTAGGAGCAGAAGATATGATTTCCTACCAGTTCTTAGAAGGCATGCTGAGTAGGGCTGCTGCCTAGGTCACTTCAGCTTAAGCTGTCTCTAACCTGTTAGCTGCTAAATATGCAGATGCCTTAATTTCGAAGCATGTTCAGATTAATTTTTTTCTTTCCTTTATTCGTGGTTGGAGTACCTAGTTCTCAACCACTTTGCAAGCAAACGCTAATCATCTTTGTCCAAACTGTTCAGGAGAGCTGTCGGATAATTAGCACTCTGCTGTCTTGTTTTGACATTATCTGAGTATGCTGTGCTTTGGAATGAGTTTCAAAACAGCACATCTAGTCCAAGTAAGTTGTGGCTCTCAAATGAAGCACTTTGTAATTACCACCCAGAATCTTGCCGGATTCATGCTTTAAAATGTATTCAGTCTCCGATTTCTTCTGTGGCTTGTTGGAGGCCAATTAAAATCTCCGTCATTCCTCCCACAAATGAAATGCGTCTTACACTGTTACAAAGGATTTAGTAATGTCTTTTCAATTTACATTACAGCAACCTTGATTTCATTTGTTCTCGCCAGTTCAGGCCTCTGACCCTATTGACTATCTTCAATCTTTTCTATGCCCTTCTTTCTCCCATGTCATTAAATCTGAGCACCTCGGGTTTTTTATGTATAAGGAGGAAAGGGCTTCCTGTTTTACAGGTGCTGAAATGAGGCATGCATAAAGTAACAAAATACACAAAAGAAGCTTCTACCTGAGCTAGAAGCCCTGGGTTAATACCTTATCTTCTGGGCCCCCTTCCTTTTGTTCCTGAGTTTGGTCTGGGTTGAGAGCCAACCGAATCATTTAGCAGAATGATACCTGGGCTATAGTTACTCAGTAGTCAGGATTTTTCTTGATCTTGTTATCTTGTGGACAGCTTGGGTCATCTGAAAGTGTCACAGATGACTGGAAGACTGTATGGGAGTTGACTGACCTTGTTAGAGAGAGGAAGATGAGATTAGCATCTGCCCCTGGCACTACAAAAGCCTGGTGAAAGGGGCCAGTGCAAGTTCTTCTCTTGTAACATTCTGTATCTTTGATTTCTGCCCCAAGGAAGAAAAGCTAGTGAGCAAGAAGAAAGCCAGAAGCAAAAGATGCTGAAGGGGATGAAAAAACAACTAAAACATATGTTGTCCCAGCCACTGTTTAAAGTCCTTATGAAAACCAAGTACCCAACACAGTCTGGAAAACTACTCCTGCCTCAGACATCAGTGGGCATTTCAGAATCTGCTCTGGGTACCATGTCCAAACAACAAGCCAAGAAGAAGAAATCAATAAAATTAAATTAGATAACTGTGCAAGATCACTCAGTGTGACGGAACCAAGGACAATCCTTATCAAGGCTGTCAGTGCTTATGGAGAAACTCAGCTAGAAGACACGTAGTATTGGAGGATGTTGCCTGTGTCTTGGTTGTGCAGGCAGAAAGCAGAATGTTGATTTAAAGGGCTCTGTTAACATGCGGTTAGTTAGTGTTGGATCTTGTTTTCTTACATTCTTACTTATTTTTTTCTTACTCTCTGTATTAATATGAGTTAATTAGTTTTGAAATATTTCTGTTTATTACTCTTTTGTGAAATGGGTAATAGTTACTGGGTAAAATTCACTGTGTGCATAATCTAATGATAAAACTTGATTTGAATTTTAATCTCCTTAAAGAACAGGGGAAGGTAAGCTGTATACAGTCTGAGTACAATCTGAGCTGGTGGTAATGGGAGGCTTGGCTTTTACTGTAGCCAGTTCAGTGAGAAAGGCAGCAAATATAGGTAATGTTATCAGCAGGTCTACCATTCTGGTTATAAAAATCTCTCCCAGTTTTCTTTGTCCTCTGATAATGTTTCTCTGTTCTGTTCTCCACTGGGTCTAATTCCCTTAGTCCTGTGTTAGTATGTTTTAGAATGTGCAAAAAGAGTCAAGGTGGCAATGGGCCAGGACTGACCTTGGGAGATGTGTAGATTTTTGAGGAATAAGTGTTGCTACTAAGTGTTTAATTAATTAATATTTGGAGTTAAGTCTGTATTTGAAAACACGTTGGAACCATGATCTTTGCTTTAGTGGAAAAAATGATGATGTTGTGAAATGTCACTTTTGAAGAGTGCTTCCTGATAATTATGCTTTTAAATCATTTTAACTTGAGCTGGGAAAAAAATTTTTAAACTATTTTAAAAAATGTCAGAAAAATGTATTTTGAATTTTTGTTAAATTATATCTGCTATAAAACCCAAAGCCTGTGTCTGTTTTCAATCACTTGAGATTTCTAAATTCCTCATAGCTGATGCCATTTGCACTTAGCAGACAAGGAGAGGCGAAAAGCATCCAAAAGGTAAGACATAGCAGTGGGATTTGTATTGGTGGGAGCACAGGGAACCTTCACCTGCCAGCTCTAAATTGGCCTGAGATTTTGTCTCGTACGCTATAGAACCAGTGTCACTGGCATGATAGGGAGGCACCCCTTTACTCAGCTAGTCAGGGAAATTTGTGGAGTTCAGTGTTCCCTCCAGCCACTTGCTGGTTATGTGGGAATAACAAACTCTTTACTCTTTCACCTATGTAAATAATTGAAGCTTCACCCCCCCACCCCCCCATCTCTGGAGGGCTTTTCTCTTGCTTCCTTGCGTTTGCATTGCTGAAGAACAGCTGTGACAATTTAATCATAAGCTTACAGAGCTTATCAATTATGTATGAAGCTTTCCTTGCAATGCACTGTTTGTCTCTTGCCCTTTGGAACAGATGGGGGAAGTTCTAGGGGGAAGAGATGGTAAGGTTCGGTCTTCTCACCGATGTGAGAAGACAACACATCTTTGGAGTTAATGTGACATCTGAAAAATAAAAACAATAATTTAAGGAAGGTTCCTTGTAAGGAAAGCTGAAAAAAGGAACTGAGCTAAGGCAAGCATGCCCTCATTCCTTTTCTGTGCCATTTTAATCACATTCTTACACTATGGAAAGGAAACTTGCATCCCTGAAGGGACTGAAGACCAGGTGGGTCTTTTCTGCATCTTGTGATATATTTCTGCTTACAATTCATCAGCAAAATCAAGGCTGGATCTTGATACTAGGGCTCTGCATCTCCTCCCTTGTCTGAAAATCTGCATGAGGTAGGACTGTTTTAGCAATTTGTAGTGCCACATGATCATAAGGAGAACTGAATTGGGGGACAGTGAGAGTATTGTTATTTCCTTTCCACCATTGCTGTGAAGTTTTTCAGCTGCTTCTGTTTCCCTGTGTTTAACAACCTAGTTCGCACACTCCCAGCCCACTGTTTTGCTAAGTCTCACCGAGATGGAGCACGATGCTTCTGCCCTCCTCACCTTCATGCTCGGCTGTGGGGTGTGCTCTGCTGCTCGTTTTCTCCTGCAGCCTCTGATGTGCTCAGCATGAACTCTTGGTGCTTAATCTACTGATGCTGCACCCCCACAGGAGCTCAAGCAGAGCTTGGACCCTAAAAATATCTCGGTGTCTTAAAAAGAATACTTGTCTAGCGCTCTGAAAGCTCTCTTGTGGCTGCCTGCTTTGCCTTTTCCTTATCTTATCAGGGTATCCTGAGTCTTCTGCCTAGAGGAAAAACCTTATACTTACTTTAGCTAATTTAAATAAATTATTAAACAGTAACTGGAAAATATTACCATTTAGCTGCCCTCCTCCAATGTGAACTGGGTTACTGCAGGAAGAGGAGAAGGTAAAAGAGACTGTTTTCTTCAACTCTGATCATTTGCATGTGTATCACTGTGCAAATTAGACATGAAGAGTTTTACATCAAGTATATATGGGCAATTTAATTTTAGTATTTAATGAAATATGTAGTATCGAATGATTTCTGTAATGGTTTGCTGGCACAGCAGTTATGCTAAGGCCTCAAACAAGTAATCTTGTGTTTTGTGCCAACTTATGGCTGCTAAAATACCCATTAATTAAAGGACTAATTAATTCTATTTGGGCTGCCACAGGAACTTCCAACTAAATTAATAAAAGCTTGAGTTCAGCAGAGTGTTGGTAGGGGCCAAGCTGATACAGAGCAACTAGGACTGCATAACAGAAAACCGAAACCCTAATACCTTCATTTTTATTTTGTGAATACGTGGGGCCAGTTGACCTCATCCTTCCCACAGTGTTCCTGGTCTGTCATATTCCTATCAAGAGAAGGAAGAGTCCCTGTAATTTAAGACATCTGAGGAGATCGTTCGGGCAGGATCTCACATATTAGACGGCAAAGTTTCCTGACATTCCCATAGCCTTTTCATTCTCTCCTCCTCTGTACTTAATAAAACAGCAAGTTAGCAAAGCAGAAGCTGGAGTGCTGCCTTGCCATATGCCAGCAGCCCAGGCACACGGCTGGACACGTGGCATAGGGGAGGTGATTTGCACCTTACTGAGAAAGGGCTGAGTACCGCACGTTTACCACAGTCCATCTGCACATCCAGGTCCCTGAGGGGAAAAGAAGATAGGAAAAAGACACTCTCTGATGGTCTCACCTCATACTGCCTGACACCAGGAGGACAATCTGGAAAGAAAGACTGCTTTCTTGGGCATTGAAACACCCACTGCTTTGTCCTGTGCTAGCAGGGTGCCTTTTGGGTGCCTGAGCAATTCCAGATTGTTTGATGGATGGCTTGGTGAAGGAAGGTGCTCAGAAGACTAGTTGAGTTGAGTGACTAGTAACAGACAGGTAATGTAGCAAGCAACAATATGTAAATAATATCCAATAGTGCTTGCAGAAAAGTAGGATGTTGTCAGAGGTCTTAGGGTTGGGGAGAAGAAGGGAGGCAGCAGACAGAAGGGCTCTCTTTTAGGAAATGGTCTTGATTGTGTAACCCTCTATAGATCCCTTCCACACTCCCTTCAGATACTCAGGCAGATGTTGTCTGATACTGTTCTGGCCCGTGTGAGATTTCCTATTCCAGCTTCCTTTTGTGAAAGGTATTTCAAGGCTTCAGTGTTTTCTCAAGTCAGTCAAAAGCTCCTCCTGGGGTTGGCCTCACAGAGTGGGTAAGAAAGAGGAAAATAATCTGGAACTCCTGAGGCAAGTTCATCGGCCTGGGGAAGCAAGCAAAAAGAGCTGCTATGCTTGTTGTACTGTCTTGGAGTTCAGCAGCTCTTGCTGTGAAGCTGGAAGAAATTGTAGCCTGTTTCCAGAGCAACCGACTTCAGATGGTACAAATTGCCAAATTTCTGTAGGTGAGGGCTGCAGTTGCAGAACATAGAGACAAATCCTGGGCTGGATAAGGAGAAAGGGCACTGCAAAGTACGCACCAGCTTTGGTACCACTGGGCTAATTAGAAGTCTGTCGTTCTTTTATTATTGATGTAATTATATCAGTCTAGTCAGTAGCGTGGATGATTTTGAAGGAGTAAAAGATTATTTCCCTTTCCTCATGGGAATACCTACACCAGTATAAGCAATTTTAGTATTGACAGATGTTATAGATTTATACATGCTGGCCACCCTAACAGGGTCCAACCCTAGGATCCCACTGATTAATGTAAAGTCCGAGTGAAGGTTTCCAATTCCTCTTTTATTAGTTCTCAGGTTACAGCTCGAGCTGGGTGCCTCCAGAGAAGGGCCCCTACCCCAGATGATGCCTCTCAATTATACCTGTACCACCCAGCACCTGATCCCCAAGTCCAATCACTGGTTGGTGATCTCTTGATTTCTTACTGGTTTTCACTGTCGCTGGGCTCGTCTTCTGAAGTTACCTCATTCTCTTGGAATTGGTCTTTTTCTTGATCCTTATCTTCTTCATTCGGCTCGCATCTGCTGGATCCAGCTATTTCTGTGTTAGCAGCACTAGTTTTATCAAACACTCCACTCTCAGTCAGCTCTTGCAGCCTAAGGCTTCAACTACTTTAGCTACTAGTGCTAAGCTGCTAGTGCTAAATGAGACTATTCAGAGAGAAGAATAATTATTCAAATTTCTTCTATAACACAGGAATATAACCCAATTATATTTCTATACCAGTATTGGTAATAACAGTGCTGTAAGGTGCAAGGTATAAGGTGCAGTTATTTCAGACTGTTTCTTACAGTGTTATTTCTAAGCTGGCTCAAGTGAGGTCATTTCCATCCTGTTAGTTCTGAGATGACCTCACAGTGTGTTTTCTTGCCAGGTTAAAACATTTATGAGAATTAAATTTGCTGAAATATTTCTCACTATTTTTCTGCTTTGTTTTCCTAGGTTCTCAAAATCTCCTAAGTTCCAGCTGGGAAAAAAGTTTATTCATACATACATGTATAAATATGATTGGAAAGTATGTCCCTTTCATCATAGAAGATTTCAAAAGTCTATTTTCATCA